AGGGATGGCAGCCGCGGGGGAAGCGTAGCGGCTTGATAAATTTTCGAGAGCAAGTTCCGCGCACTGGAGTTGATTTCTCACGCGGCCGTTTGTGTAGGTGTTTGTTTACATTATCTTACCTATTTATTTATTATATTACCTATTTCATCTGTTGACCTGTACTTAGCCCGGTAGGGCATTAATGTACAATAAAGGTTATTATTATTATTATCGCTGGTCGCTGAGGGTCGGGCAGCCAGATTCGCCACGGGATGCCCCCTGTCCTTTCTATTTTTGGGCTCCAGTCGGCTAGGGGGGATTAGTGATTTCACAGATCATTTAGCCAATTACAAACATTTCGAAACTTTTCGAAAAAATGGTATTCGCGTGAACACACACACACCCAGACACCATTCACTAATTTAAAGAACAGTCCCAACATGCACCCAACATTCTGCAACATACATGACAATACCCGGAGGTACAAAATCTACGATTTTCCTTGTTGTGGAATGTATTCAGTACTAGCCTCTACCAGGCTTCAGAAGCAGCTGGAGAAAGTAGAAATCAGGGCAGCAAACTGTACTCCTTTAGTGCCATGTTATCAGTCTATTTTGAAGCCTAGGTGCCAGGCTGTTTCAGGCTAAAATTAAGGGCCCACACAGGCCAGTTCCTCGACTCCAGAGCCAACATGCCCCCAAGGAAATTTTACTACAGCCGCCCTCAGTTAGGCCTGATCTAGGCTAACTCTGAGCTAGCACGCCATACATGTTAGTCTGGCATCCAGGCTATCTATTGGGCGATTTCTACTCTTTCTAGCTGCCTCAGAAGCCTGGTAGAGGCTACTCAGCACTGTTATGTGGAGTGTTTGGCAGCTATTGATGAAAACAATGAATAGTTTTACACCAACTCTTTGTGTTTGTGACTTGACTGTTGAAAGTCTTATCTAACTGTAAGTAAGGAATCATATGTGGTAAGATAAGATGAAAACGTACATCTTTGAAAACACGTTTTGAAAATCACATTAGGCTCTTAAAACCACAGTTAAGAGGCTTAAGTTTCATTCATTCATTCATTCATTCATTCACCACAATTAGGCTTATAATACGGTACATCCCAATAGTTTCTCGTTAGAGTTGAAAGGATGCGTTTCATATTGGATTTGCTAGGTGGCGTTTCAACCATTTCGTGGAGGAATGCATGGTGTCTCTTTCGAAGAGGCAGATAAAGAGGAAGTTTTCAGTATTTCTCCAAGATGCTAATAAGGATACAACGTTAACCTTTCGTTAAAAAAGATGCAAAACAAAGCTGGATAAAAGTAATGTCATCCATATAAAAATGCCCTCTACTAGGAAGACACAAGTGCGTACAAAAATTACTGAAATCACGTACTAGAATATTTTTTGAGCTGAATATTTTGATGGATGCAAACAAAAAGGAATGGGTGTACAAGAACGAACGAATGAATGACGTGTGAATTTCCAGGCTACCAAACTCCTTTGACAAATTACTCTCCCACTAAAAATGGCTAATTTCTTCTTTCTTCCCAACTCACAAAAGAGTCGGTTTGACGGGAAGCTGGACCCACCCCCCATCCGTCTGTACCAGACAATAGGCCTGACGGAATCGGGTCAGGAAAGTGCAAGTAAGGTCAGAAAAGGGAAAGTGATGAGGTCAGGGAAGGGAAAGTGATGAGGTCAGGGAAGGGAAGGTAAAGACAGGTCAGTCACCTTTGAGGAACGCACAGAACCAATGTCCGACGCCTTGCTGTCGCTATTAAGGGGTCAGACGAGTCGGCAGCCAATAATTTTATCGTAGAATATATTAACGCTACAGTAACACAGAAAAATGCGGCATTTCGAATATAAACCATATGTTAATTTCTTTAATCTTAGTTTGGCACATGTTTTTCTACTACTTTTAGTAGTACAACAATTTTTAGATAGTCGACATATATCAGATGATATAACATTATTAAGTATATTGCTGTATAAATGATAGATATATCTACATTCTTTTGCAAAATTAAAACACAAATTATTCTGGACTTCCTTATCAATGAACATATTCTTGTTGCCAAGTGAGCCCACTACGCAAAAAGGGCCCCGAAATAAACACCATGGACAAATACACAACTGCCGGCCTGCCCAGGTCAGTTAGCGCAGACCGGTCAATGTTTTAACGGTGTTTCCATGTCCTGAATCACAGACGGTACTTTCTCGTCTTCTTGTCTTTCCCTGTCTTGAAGTTGAGTTCGTGTTCATTCCATGAACAGTCAATACTTGTGGTCTTCATAAAGACAGTACATAAATTCGTAGAAATTTAATCGTTAGTACGTCCGATTATCATATATGTCTAGAAATACTTCCTCGGTGTTGTCCACTGTGTAGCCTGGTCCTTGTTCCATCGGGAACTACCGAGTGTTTCTTTAAAATCTCCAAGATCTTTCGGGATACTGTCTGGCTAATACATTCTGTCTGGAAAATGGATACTGTGTATGGTAACTGTCTGGCCAATTTGATACTGTCTTTGCAGCCACCGAAAGATCTGCTTGGAGATTAGGAACTAACTTTTTACTGATGAGCTGGAGCAATACCCGCCCGCCTTGGTCCATTATATTATTAGCTCACCGTCCGGAGAATGTTCGGAGTTACAGTAAGACACAAAGCCGAGACTTTCTCGTCTTCTTGTCTGTCTTGGAATGTGTAGCAGAGTTCGTGTCTATTCCATGAACAGTCAATAATTGTGGTCTTCTTGAAGACAATACAGAAATCCGTAGAAATCGTTAGTAGGTCCGATTACGTTCAACTGAGAAATACTAATCTATAAGCAGATCATTCGGTGGTATCCATTGGCCAGAGGAGTGTCCACGAATGGGAACTCCTCTGGTCAATGAATGGATACTGCCTTGCCATCGTATGATCTGCTCGGAGATTAATAGAAATACTTGCTCGGTGTTGTCCACTGTAGTAGCCTGGTGCTCATTCCGTCGGGAGTTACCTAGTATCTCTTTACTCATGAGCTGGAGCGATACCCGCCCGCCCAGTTCCATTTTAGCGTAGAATGTTCGTATTAATCACAGCAAGACGCACAGTCGAGACTTTCTCTTCTTGTCTTTATCTGTCTTCGGTTCTGCAGCAGAGTTCAAGTCCAGTCCTCCCGTTCCGGTCGCGCCGCCGTCCTTCTTGTTCTGTCCGTTCCCGCCCGGAGAGTTCGCCGTCCCGCTCTGGTCCTCCGTGTTCTCGGCGAGGGTGGACAGCGAGGCGCCGGCCTCGTTAGTCGGGATGCTGTCGCCCCTCTCCCGCCCGGGGTCGTAGAAAACCTCCGGCGGTTCCTCCCGCAAGTCGTCCTGGCTCGGCGGCGTCGTGAAGATGACCGGGCCGGTCGAACTTGACCGCCGCCGGGGGTCGAAGACGTCGTCCGAGAGGCTTGACGAGGCTCTCTCCTCCGGCTGGAGCGTCATCTTGTCGGGCCGACCGGCTTCCGACTCCTGCCGAATGTCTCCAGACCCTGCTCGGCTGTCGTCGGGGACACTTCGGCCGTTCTCGGCTTCTTGACGTTCTGTCGCCGCTCTGGAATCTTCTCTGGGTGATGTTTTCTTCTCTTCTTCCCACACACGGAAACGGTCTTCCAACGCTTCTGTCGTAGACGGCAGCTCCTTTTCCGACTCCGCTAGACGGCGGACACTTTCGTCTTCACTCTTCTCATCGCCCATCGCTGTCGTCTTGGGACTCAGTCTCAAGGAACTACAAGGTCAAGACGTTCTCTCTAACAGCCAAGGAACAGCTTCAAGTCCTGGTCTTGTCGTAGCTTGCTCGGGAAAATGTTCTACACGTCCCTTTTTACGTGCAAACAGACTCACAGGAGCGAAGAAGAATATGTAATGTCGGTCGAATATTAGATAACTCTGCTCTGGTTTTGGTGGTTTGTCTTTACTGTGGAAAATACCACAGACCCATGTTATAATAGGGGTGTCAGCAATGTTTCCCCTTTTTTGTGGTTCTTACGTCCAAGAATACAACGATTTGAGAAGCTTGCATTCTCAAGTTTGACTTAGATAAGAGAAACTTGATGTGAACGAGCATAGTTGGTGTGTCTCTGTGCATAGCTATTCCGCTATAAAATCTTTTTTTAAAGTTTTCCCCCATAAATTTCACAATTCCGCGGTTAACAAGTCCCACCGTTGGCAAAGCGGCCCAAACACCAGTAAAAACAGCGGCGCAAACTTACACAAATCCATCTGCGCGGACACGGACGTTGACCTGGGGCTGACACCGTCACCATGGCAACGGCGGTAAACAGAAGGGCGGCACTTCTTTCGCGCCAAAACACTCATCTTCTGGGGGATTAGAGTATCAGGTTTCATGTGTGGGTCGCTGGGCGGGACCGACTTTCCAGAGAACTCTGACGTCACTGCAACCACTTTTAGCCATGGCCTATGCTGACTACTGAGAAAACTGAACTCGCCATTTTTCGTATGCACTATATAGGCTATATATTCGGAGGGAAAGAAACTACCTCCCCGCGGCCGGACTCCCTTTGCCAATTTTTCCCTCTTTGTTGCCGAATTCTACTATCCGTATTTCCCGTAGAAATATAATACTGAACACAAGCCAGACTAATTATGGGGGCTCGCAAGCCCTTTTCCGTAGAGCGTAATCGGCGTTTTAATTCTACGTAATGCGTTGTAGCCACATAGTATCGTAAAGCGTAATCGAGAGGTTTCCGAATTCAGCGCAGAGCGTTGTCGGAACCCCCCTTGCATGCCCTCATTGAGGACTACTGACTAGCTTGCGTGAAGGAAAGAATCAAACACGATTTTACGCTAGCCCACCTTCCTCAACAACATACTGGAACTCTTTCCTGGCTAAGAAGTGTTAGATTTTTATCTTCAAGTTGATGTGTCACTGACGAAAGGTAGTGGATGCTACCTGAAACATCTGACCGTTTCCAAAATCATATCCAGTTGCTTGGTAATTGAGTAACTTTGGCGTATCTTAATACCTGGATGTATTAGCCTCCGTAGCAGGCTTATAGAACTGGGGGTTTGGTGGTCTTCGCGGCTGTTTTCTGATTAGCCCAGTTCAACCAGGCCGGCTATGTTGTCCATATGCAATCAGAAAATAGCACATAAAAGCTCCCAAAGACCCTGAAGACCCCCAGTTGTTGGCGTGCTATGAAGGCTAGATGTCTAACCTTCACCGACATTTGGTCTTGATGTATTTCTCTGACATGTTGATCAGAATAAATGAAGTTGGATGTAATGAGGAAGTGTACAAAAACTCTCGGGTTTGCAACACAAACCACTTAAATGCTGTACTCAGACACAGGACAGGGGGCAGTGTAAACTGTAAAATATCAACTGTAGATGGATCCCTGATATATTTAGGCTGGTGTGTATCAGCTGTTTAAAACATTACCATGGTACTGATTATGTACTTTGGTAAAAAGGGACAAAAGAGAGTTGGGTTGTATGTAAGGTTTGCCTCTCAGCTCCTTTCACACTTTTTTCAAAATCCAATTTTAACATCATTTTTCCCCGAAACGGGGGTTAGACGTGCTTGCGTCAAATGCAAGTCTTTTTTTTTTCTTGAAGCAAGATTTTTACAACTGGATGCCCTTCCTAACGCCAACCTAAACCCTAGTAGGGCTCAGGATGTACTAGTATCAACTCACGCATGTACCCTTATAGTTACTAGTATATCATGTACTTTATGAGAGTTATAATAGCCTCTACCAGGCTTTGGGAAGCAGCTGGGAAGGTAGAAAGTGACCAAATAGACTGATAACATCCTAGGGGAATTTGGCCACGATAGCTTACAGCAGGAGGATATTTGACAGTAACTTTCACTCTCTTTGGCATGCCAATAAATGACTGCAGTTATTAGACTGTAGAGTGAGGGGTAAACAATTCACTTTGACTAGCCAAGATACAATTTATTTCAAACTTGTCCACTTGACAAGTTGGGTTTGTTTCTTCATGTTGAAACAAGCCTGAAACAAGTGTGAAACAATGACCACTTCAGACTCTGTATGTGTCAGTCTTGTGCTAACTGCTGCTAAAATAAGACTTCTGTTTACACAGTTTCCGTGTTAGGAAACTTGTATGGGCTAAACCATACAGTAGACTGTAAAATAACAACTAAAACATAACATACTGTGGTCATACTGGTAATGTTCAACAAAATTCAGCTCTATGAACCATACTACTGAGTCAAGAATTTTGGATAAAACAAAAGAAATTGACATAAAAATGTTGCTACTTCTACTCTTCTTTTTTTTTAGCCTTAATAACTATAAGTATACATACTACATATACCAAAACTAATGCTAGTTTTAATCCATAGGGCTATTTAATGCCATTGCGCCTCTGTTATAGAATATCAGGCTTGATATTACACATTACAGAAAAGATTTTTACAAGGAGGAAAACAATAATGTAACAAAAACTTAACCTCCACATGCCTATATCATATAGTAAACTATATGGGACTCTTTTTTTTGCAAAATATCAGTCTTGCAAGTATACAAGTATACAGAAAAGACTTTCACAATGCTGAAACAAAAATGCTGCTAAATTTATCTCATCGCAACTACAGGGTTCTCTTTTTCTAAATACCTGGCTTGTGAGTATACAAATATACAATGCTGAAAAGACTTTCACAATGAAGAAAACAATAATGAAAGAAAAACTGCTCCTAATTTTACCCCCACATTACTATATCAAATAGTACAATGTATAAGGGACTCTTTCAAAATATCTGACTTGCAAGTATACAAGTATACAATACATAAAAGACTTTCACAAAGTAGAAAACAACAAGTTCTATCCCTCCTGTTGTACAAAAGGGTTAGGTATGGCCTCCATGCCGTCCTGAGGACAGATGAGCACCACTGACGTCCCGCGACACACGACCAGTCCCAACTGTCGCTGGTCTTCTGTTAGCTTAAAGGGGTCGTCTGGGTCTGGGGTAAGAAGGGGAGGTGAAGCAGTCATCATGGAATGAGGTGAAGCATGATGCTATTGGTTAATATTGTGGTTTTCCTTAGCCTCCCCAGGCTTTAAATGTGGCTGGAAATTTTCTCATTTGTACTAGTACAATGTACCTAAACTATGCACCATGGCTACTATGTATTATACCTACAAAGTTACATGTGCCTAGCTTGTGTGTCAGCCTTTTCAGGTTTTGTCTGCTCCCCATAATTTTTGGCTAGTAGGGGATCGTGGGGGGCGGACGAAAGCTAAAAAGGCTGACACCCAGGCTAATATGTGCCAGGTCGTTTAATGTAATATATAACCAGCTGCAAAACTTACATGCAAGGGCAGTCATGTATCAGCTATTGTGCCATACATAAATGTGTATTCCACCCAAAGAAATGCATGCTACATAGGTTTACGTTTCGTAACTTTAGATTCTATTATTGTTTAAACAATCCTTACCTCTCTGGTACTCTGTTGTGTTGTCCAACACCAGGTTCAGTAGTGGGTCGTACCCCTTCAAAACTCCACTCGCTAAACAAACAACAAAAACTTTCAGGTTACAAACTCGGCAGCTAAGATTGGGAGCTACTTGTTGAAGGCTCTCTCTCCTTTGAAAACACATATAGCTTCTCCCTTTTTAAAATCACTGACAAGCAATGGCTGACTGTGTCCTATATTATCATAAATTATTATGGAGTCATGCTATAAGTACCAGAGTTATCAATCAAGGATTGAGGTGTTCAAAAACTCATTTTTTCCTAGAACCATCATAGAGTGGAACTCACTGTCACCAAGTACAGTAGAGTTCAAGGGTTAGGTGTAACAGGTGGTTCAGTGTGATATTGCCTGTGAAGCTAGAGTGTTGCGCCGAAGGGTGGTTATACCGCCTTAGCCGCGGCGACTGTTGCAGGGCTTCTCTTGCTTGCAGTCTTTTACATTAGCCCTAACAACAGTCGCGGAGCGGTGCATTGGGCCAAATGAACAAACATGCGTTTTACCGTGCCGGAACACTTTGAGACCGAAGTTTGCACGTCCCTAGATTCCTAACAGCCTCACCTAACGTGCCGGGGTGTTTTGCGCGTCAACCGGCCCCTGCGCGACTCGTACCGCCACTATTTGCGATCGCTCCCCACGTATTCATAAGCCGAGTGGCCGCCATCTTGGTCAGCCGCGCGTTGAATCAGCTACTTGTAAATGTGCCGCTACTTTTCTGATCCATAGAAATAGCTTATCAGAAAAATAGCGGCAAATTTGCCGGCGGCTGATTCCAATCAAAAATGGCGGCCAACTGTTATGTTTTACGTGGGGAGCGATCGCAAATAGTGGCGGTACGAGTCGCGCAGGGGCCGGTTGACGCGCAAAACACCCCGGCACGTTAGGTGAGGCTGTTAGGAATCTAGGGACGTGCAAACTTCGGTCTCAAAGTGTTCCGGCACGGTAAAACGCATGTTTGTTCATTTGGCCCAATGCACCGCTCCGCGACTGTTGTTAGGGCTACTGTAAAAGACTGCAAGCAAGAGAAGCCCTGCAACAGTCGCCGCGGCTAATACCGCCTATACATATACAGATAGAATGGCATTACTTCCAGAGGGTCTACATAGATGGTGGTAACAGCGACACACCTTCCCTCCCTCCATGAAACTTGACCCTGATGGGTTTGTCCAGGTACTTGGACAGGTCCAGAATCGTCTCCTTCTTCTTCCTCTCCTGGTCTCCCTGGCCTTTGTTGCCTCCCTAGAGAAAAAAAAACAACAACAAAAAATCAGCATCACTGGTTTTGGTACCCACATTCATTCTGGCATACTCATATTCACCTGGGTAAAGTGAGGAAAGTGGTGTGCCTTTCCCAAGGGCACAAGGTCGATGACTCGGCAGGATTCGAACCAGGAACCTCTTGGTTCTGAGCCAAAGACTGCGTACGTTTAGCAGTAGCCCCCCTCCCCTCTTTATTCCCACGTTTTCTGCATGCAGTGTCCCGCGCTAGTACAACAGTTTTCAAGCTTCAATAACATTCTAAGAGGCCAGTACAAAGATAGTTTCTTTATATATGTTCCGTATAAAGTCGGGAATGAATGCCACTGCCAGGAATAAACGCAGAAGCGAGAAATAAGACGAAAACGGAGATCAAACTTACGCGCTGCTGGTTTTGGGCTGCCATTTTGGAATGAAGTCTCGTGAAGTGCGAGACTTTGTGGTGGCGCGTGAAACTGCGAGACTAAAACTTTTTTCTACAAAATCACATCAACTTTCCGCCAAATCTCACTAAAATTATAAAGATTTGCAGACGTAACACAAATTTGGGTGATTTAGAATAATAAACACTGAAAAAACGTCCTAAAATCATGGAAGGACATAACAAAGTGGATACAGTAAAAAGGAAAGTTACACTTGTTGAGAGGGTGTATTTTCTTTGACAATTTTTTAATACTTTTGAGGGACACGAATAAAACTTTACGTTCACTTTTTGCTTTGAAATCAATATACATGAAATACGAATAAAACTATTAGAATTGCAAATATGTCCCAAACGATGAATATTTATTTTCACCAATTTCACCCCTACAGAATTCGCAAAGTGTACTGTTCCAAGATGGCGGTGGTGGGAGTCATTTTTTCGCTAATCGTCTGCCAGCTTGTCGGAACGGTATGGCTTGGTATTTATCTATTTTCCCGCGCTTTTTCTGTCATATTGCTCTGCTAACTCCGAGGAACGATCCCCAGCACAACTGCCTTTTTGAATCCCTGCCGTTCGCTCACAGTTTAGCTCAGAAAATCAGTCGTCTGTGCCGATATATTTTCATGTCTGGTGTAGTCATACATGTATACAGTATAGTCGGCTTTTGCTGAAAATTATGAATTAATGTAGTAACGTTATGCTATATCCTCTAGCAACAGTTTAGTTTCACGTATTTTTGCGTAGATACTTAAACTAGTTGTTCGTAAAATGGAATTACGTAATATGTTATGAAGGGCCCCCAGGCGAGGTAACAAAATTATTTAAAGGCCAACCAAAACTAGGTGGGGCCAAACAAAATTAGTATTACGGATGACGAAATTTTGAGACGCCAAGTCTGATGCGAGAGTGCTTGTTGCTCCAGCCCCAAATATATCACGATGTTTCATGATGTATGCATCCTTTTTTTTCCATTGACAAACAGAAGAACACCAACACAATAGATTTCATTGATGTGAACACTGTCTAATTGTTTTATGATAATATATAGTTTATAGCACATTGTATTCTCCAACTTTGACCATGATAATGAGAATTGTCTTTGATGACTAGTCTACTGTAGTTGTTGTTAATCTTGTAACAATACATATAACAATGCATGTGAAAACAACATCCAAAGGGCCACACCTTATTTTCTTGTAGCCTTTGACTGTGATTGGTGCTGTGTTCATCAAATAACGCTATTTGTATAAGTTCTTTTTTTAATGATTTATTTCAACGAATTTTCTTAGGGTGACATACACATGTACAGCTTTGTTTATACAATGTCCTTAAAATTTGTTATTGACTAACCTACTGTATGCTGACGATAGAAGTCATAAAGTTATTTCCGTAACGTTAACCATGGCCTATCCTTGTGACAAGTTGGCAATCAATGTGTGAACATGATCTAAGTATGTTTATTAGTATACATATGTCTAACGTAGCATAGGATATAAGTTTTATTTTTATTCTGCTTCTGCACTACTTCTACAAGTAAACTGTTCTTGGATTTTTATTTAATGATTAATTTCTGTCAAGTTATGCTTCAATTATTGATCAAGTTCAAAATAATTTCATGAGAGAGCTTTTAAGTTAGTTTATGAATCTGGCAGTCGCTGTGTTGGAAGGCACAAAATACATAAAGCTGGCTTGGCTCAAGGTCAAGGAACTATCCTCACACTTGTCTTAACCTTGGCAGCATCACTGACTAATGTCTCATGACTTTGGCAAGGTTGTTCAATTCTCAGCATGGGTGGGTGGGTGATATTTCATAATTGTCCCCAGCAGACAGCTTACAAATTTCCTATATCTGGCAGTCTGCCCTCCAACAGTAGAAATATAGGACAGTCGGGTATATATAGAACATCAGGGACCTACTTGAACCCAACTGACCTGGCTGGTAAGGTTAAAGGTGAAAGTTCAAGGGAATTTAGGAAATCTTGGCATGGACAGATGTTAGATTTTGGTTGATGTTTTTGCCAAGTAATTCGAGATCCAGTACAGTGTCAGTTGTATCCAGTCTACGCTAGTCCTTGTATTTACAGAGAAATGTCTGACATACTCTTTAAATTTTTGTCATACAAAGTTGAATGAATACTTTTCCTATATCTTTAATTCATTGTTGAAATCATCATATATAATGTTACACACTATATCTAGTGTATGTCATCATCCATTTTGTCTTGATAAAGAAAGATGAGATTTTGTATTAGATGACAGGCCTTCCTGTGTGTATGACACGTTTGTTTCTTCTGGAGTGAAGCCAGATATCAGATGTACTATGTTAGGCTCACGTATTGTGTCAGGAATAGGCTGAATACACAGTTATGCTGTCACTTTGTGATATAATGTACAACAATCTTTCAAAGAACTACTGTTTCTTTCTTGTTTTCGAATGATATAATGGCTAATTGTGCTGGAGAATTCTTTTGCTGTATTAACAATGTGCCATAAGTAACTCAGGCTATAGATATCTTTAGAAAACAGTGTAGACTGGATACTGGGATATAAGTTCAGTCTATCTAGAATTTGGGACTTGTTGACTTGTTACTAGTAAAAATATACAAGGCAAATTCATTTCAAAGACTTCATTATAATAATAATCAATAATAATATAGACCAAAATTTTAGTTCTACATGAAGATATTGCCACCAAATAATAAGCTAGCTAGAGTTGTACCTGAGTTGTACATGCATTCCATTTTTATTTTCTTTATTACGTATGTCTAGATTTTGACAGATACGTGGGTGTGGCAGTGAGATTGGTCTGTAAGAAAAGCCGTGGGGGTCAGTTAACTCTGAGTAACCCCCCCTCCTCACATAGTGCCTGCATGTCTCAAATATCCTCATGACTGACAGGGAGGCTTGCTGCACCCTGTCCTGGTCCTGATCCATACAGACTGGCTATTTCCATGGATGTGTTTGTATCACTGTAGTTTTAGCCCCCAGGGATATATCAGGCCTAGGCTATGTTAAAACGTCAACCATAAAAAGTCAAATGAAAATGAACAACTTAAAAGTATACTCAGAACGTTCGCAAAGATACATTGATGTTTATATCACTACAGTTTTAGCAGCCATGGATAGACAATCTACATGGATAAATATCTAAATATATGTATGTTCACATTTATACTAAATTATACGTAGTATACATGATTGCCGAGTAAACCAACAATCAACCAACTTATGTATATACTAGTAGGCTGTTCAGTTCATGTGGATATGCATTTGTATTAAACTATAGAGGGAAAAGGTATACCTATTGATCTTATTATATAATCCCTCCAGGCTACAGGAGACTATCCTGAAGGCCCAAACCAGGGACCTGTCTACATACACTGTATTAGTACTACCTTTTGAGATACCTGTACAATGTACAATGTACATATATATCACAGTATAAGTGTATAATGATCCACAGTAAAAACAAAGACCTTATTATTACATTCTCCTCCAGGTTATAGCAGACTATGGAATCCTGAAGGCCCAGCCCAGAGACCTGTCTACTTACCTGAGTACTACTGTCTGAGACACATGTATGTCTCAGTACATGTACATATGTATGATCCACAGTAAAGACCTTATAATTATATAATTAACGTTATATTCCCTATCCAGGTTACATCAGACTATGGAATCCTGAAGGCCCAGCCCAGAGACCTGTCCACTTACCAGTACTACTGTTAGAGATACTTTTATGTCTCAGTACAATGTACATGTATGATCCACACAGTAAAAAGAATTTTAAGACCTTATATTTATAATTATATTCTCTCCAGGTTACATCAGAGTATGGAATCCTGAAGGCCCAGCCCAGAGACCTGTCTACATACCAGTACTACTGCCTGAGGTACGACCCACAGTGGGAACGCCTGCCTACAGATCCAGATGAAGCAGTGAGTATCACATATCAGTGGTTTTAGACATTATCATTTTCTCCCAGTCTAACAATGGTGGTTCAAAAATAGTAGAATTTTAGCAAGTAGGGAACCAAACTTCAAGTTCTACCGTTTTCTTACTTCACCGGGGCTCAGAATATATGGGTGCATGTGCACCTTAGTGTGCACAAAATTGGAGCTGTGCACCCAATTTTTTTCTGTGGGTGCACTGGTGCACGTAGATATTTTCGTATGTTTAAGCATGTGAAAACATTAAATTTTTATAGTACATGTATACCACATAATCTTGACATTTAAGTTCTTGACATTGATTCCCATGTAAGGATTTCTAACATTTTTCTGTTCCAGGCCCCAGACCCCTTACTAGACATGACTCCTCCATATGGCTCACTCACTCACTCACTGACTCGCTCACACACACACTCACTCACTAACTCACTCTCTCACTCACTCTCTCACTCACTCACTCACTCACTCACTCACTCACTCACTCACTCACTCACTCACTCACTCACTCACTGTCCGGTTTATCGTCTGTTGTTCCCCGACTTCCGAGGATTAGACATGCTTGCACAGCAATATTACTGAGACTTAATGGCAGCACGCCACTTGCCTCTATCCTGTGGGTTGATGTTATGTAAGTTCAAGTGTAGGCTGTGACAACTAAAAGTCTCAATGTCTATTTCAATTTCTAACATTTTTCTGTTCCAGGTGCCAGACCCATTGCTAGACATGACCCCCCTGTACGGCTGTGAAGTCTTGGGTTCAAATCCTGTTATAAGTACACATGTCTCAGTCTAACATTTTTCTGCCTCAGGTGCCAGACCCCTTACTGGACATGACCCCCCTGTACGGCTGTGAGGACTACAAGTCCCCTGCCCGGGTACCAAACCATGTTGTTGCCATCATGAGAGGAAACTGCACGTTCTTCCAGAAAGCCAGGACAGCACAGAAGTACGGAGCAGACGCAATCATCGTCATATCACAGGACAAACTGGTAAGGAGCTGCAGGTCATTGGTTCTATTCCCATGTGTTTTCACTCACACTCACTATCCTGGTTTAGATACATCTAATTCTTTACAAATTGTTGATTAAGGTTAGGACTTCCAGGTAATTAGATACAAAAGAAAACAGTTACTCAAACAACTGGGTAGATTTTGAAAACTGTCAGACATTTCAAGGAGCATCAGATTCTACTAGTTTTCCTCCATACATTATGATGCAAGTACACTGTATAAGACATTGGTTAGATCAGAAAATGTCTTGGTAGGGAACAGAGGGTCACTTCAGGGTAGCTCTGTGGATCGCGTTTAGTGCAGTAGTGTTGATGAGGGTTAGGCATCCAGATAATGAAATACACAAGAAAACTGTTACACAAACAACTGGATAGATTTTGAAAACTGTCAGATGTTTCAAGGAGCATCCACTGCATTTCCTTTTAAGTTAGTACAAACTGGTAAGGATCTGCAGGTCGCTGGCTCAATTCCCGTGTGTTTTAGTACAATTCTGATTCATTACATTTATACAATGTTGATTAAGGTTAGACATCCAGGTAATGAGATACACAAGAAAACTGTTACTCAGGCAACTGGATAGATTTTGAAAACTGTCAGATGTTTGAAGTAGCATCCACTACTTTTCCTCAATACATTGTATTATGCAAGGGTGAGATACTTGTTACATCAGAAAAGGTCCTGGTAGGGATCAGGTGGTCTTTGGTTTTATTCCCAAGTTTTATTTTCTAATCAGTTGAATCAGTTGAATCACTCCAGTAAGTTACAACACTGTAGGAACCACATTTTGTGACAGGTGTTTGTATGTATGTTTGTCTGTGTTTCCAGGTTGACCCAGGAGGAAACAGTAGTGATTATAAGGAGATCCACATCCCTGTTGCTCTGCTGTCTCACGAAGACTTTCTACACATGAAGGTACAGACAAACGTCTAGACTTGTTTAAAGTTAAAACTTTGGATCTAACACAAAGAGGTTCTCTCAGCTAGAGCTTTTGACCAGTCACTCTGGTCTTCCTCAGTAGACTGACCCAGTAAGCTTGTCACGTGGCTTCTTTGAAGTGTGACGTCAACACTGGGTCAAAGGTACAATGTATCTGGTAGACGATGCCGGTCCCCATATCGGTTGAGTGAAGGGTGATGGGCCCTGATGTTGTAGCACTTGTTTAGATTTTAAAATTAGCTACCAGTAAGATCTGTAATTACAATTTGTTTTATATGGTGCAACCAAAATATTTTTTGTGCACCCAATGTTTTTGGTTGGGTGCATCAGTGCACCTATTCCCAAAAATGAATTTCGAGCCCTGTAGTATTTTTTAAAACTATGTTGCACAACTGATAATAATAACTTAAATAAGTTGTTGTTGTTTCCCAGTCACTAGGAGCAGACCTGGAAGTCTCCATGTACTCCCCACCTGATCCCCTGATGGAGTATAACCTGATCGTGATCTGGCTCATGGCAGTCTTCACTGTGGGAGTGGGGGGCTACTGGGCAGGCACTGTCGGGGGGAAGTAAGTCTGCTTCATTTCTTAGGCCTGAGAAAAAAATGTAGCTGTGTTTCCTGTTTCCTGACCAACCTAGAAAGATTGCTGACCCTATTCTTTTTTTTGGGTGGGGGGGACCCCTGCAAAGGACAAAAAGTTTTTTGAGCTGATTGTCCTTTTCTAGCTCCGTGATCTGACACCTGAGTGATTAAACATTGTACAATCAGTTTTCCAACATTCACTAGAGATTGCCAAAGTGTAAAAAAGATAATCCCTAGGACTGAAACAGGAAACACAACACTTTTTGCCCTAGGCCTTATCATCTCTTTTATTTCTTGCTTTAAAAACTGCAATTCATTTTCAGCTGAGCCAAATAAGGAAATAGGTGCAAATACAAAAAAATAAGATGGTCTAGCCTAGCAAACTACTGCTCTGTTTATTCTGACCATTGTCAGTGGTGGTGGCGCAACCGTTAAAGCATTGGACTCAGCACCAAAAGGTCCTGGGTTCGATACCGTGGCCTGACGTTGTGCCCTTGGGAAAAGCACTTTACACGACTTCCCCACCTGTACAGTGGAGTGACGCCCACCAAGCCTTTTCGGCTAATCTGTCTAAATGTGTGCCAAAAATATACTACAGATTTGATGCTCCAATGCGCCAACATCAGCACATTTGCCACCAAGAGCCATATTTTGTTTATTGTCTCCTAGGAAGAAGCTGAAGAAGCGTCGACAGTACACAGCGGAGGATGGGGAGAGAGAAGGGGAGGAGGAGGAGGAAGAGGAGGTACCGCCTGAAGAGGAGGAGGAACCTCAGACGGTGGAGATCTCGCCCAAGTTCATCGCCATCTTTGTGTTCATGATCTGTGCACTGCTGCTGCTGCTCTACTTCTTCTACAACTACTTAGGTGGGTACGTCAGTTACCATGGTGACAGACATCTGGTCCAGGTCATTGACTAAATTTTGTTGGAAAAGAAGAAGAAGGAAAAAACAGTGCAAAAACAATGTTTGGTGGGTGAGTGACATCCAGGTAGGTACACAAGAAAACAGTTACTCAAGCAACTAAATAGATTTTGAAAACTGTGACAGTCATATATATGGTGACCAGCCCCTCCAGCTCTGTCCTGCCACTTGCTACATAATGTAACCCAACACCATGATCTGTGCACTGTTGCTGCTGCTCTACTTCTTCTACAACTACTTAGGTCAGTTGTAGAAATACTTTTGTCAATGTTCTTCAATAATTGCAGATGGGTCAAAATTTTGTTCAGCAATTTGCAAACATTTTCTGCAAATGCACAAGCTTCCATACTATAGTTTTCCATCAAACAGTTTTTATCAGGAACGTTCAACTGTTCAAAACTAAGTTAAAACTTCTGTTCCAACACAAGTGATTGTTCTCGCCTAGAGCTTTCAACCACTCTGGTTTCTTCAATAGACTGACCCAGTGTTGACGTCACACATTAGAGAAGCTACGTGACACTGGGTCAATCTACTGAGGAAGACCAGAGTGACTGGTCGAAAGTCCATTCTTTGTGTTGAAACAAAAGGTAAACCTTAAACAAGAAAAGAGTAACTCAAGCAACTGGACACATTTTAAAATTGTCAGACATTTCAGGTAGCTGAATAAGGTTTATGAATGTAAGTACATAAACAGATGATATAGAACCTGTCCTTCTGTGTCCCACAGTGTACGTGATCATTGTCATATTCTGCCTGGCATCAGCGAAGGGTCTGTACGTCTGTCTACTGCCCATTGTGCTGTGGCTACCAGCTAACTGCAGGTATGAACTCTTAGTTTAATTTATGTAGATTTACTTCGCATTGTGGAAGGATTGACATAAGAGGTGACTATCACCTTTTGTGGATGTCAACCCTTAGACCAGACCGTAAGGTTTGAACAACTTGTTTTTTTTTCAGAATTCCAGAGAACAAGCTGCCGTTGCTGAAGAAGCGCCCCCTAGTAAAGTGCATCATCCTTGCAGCGTGCTGCGTGACAGTTTCTCTCATCTGGTTTATCTTCAGAAAAGAACGGTACGAATCTAAGATTTTTACAAATCTAAGATGTTTCCCAATGTCTTGACTCTTGAAGACATGACAGGTTAAAAACCGTTACTCAAGCAACTGGATATGATCTTGGAAATGGTCAGACGTTTCAGGTAGCATTCACTACCTCAATCAATAGTTCGTACTTATAAACCTGCTTTTCTGACAACTCTCCAGTGTCACTGACGAAAGATAGTGGATGCTACCTGAAACGTCTGACCGTTTCCAAAACCCTGTTTGTTTTGTACTGATTGTAGCATTAAAGAACAAAATATGGTGTAGTTTCGTAGCATGTCTTTCTTAGAAAAAATTATCAAAACACTTTTCTTCTTTTTGACTTCCCCAACAAATGTAGACAAGATATCTTAGACATTTGCACTCTGGCAAAATGTGCCTAAAAATACAATATCCATTATCCTTTATTTTTACATAGTTACATTACATAATATATTATATATATTTTAATATAGTTACATTACAAGTAACTCTACAGAAAGAAATTGTAGTTTTAAGTATATTTTTCTTGTATTTTACAGTTGGGCCTGGATCCTCCAAGACGGCCTGGGCATAGCATTCAGTATCTACATGCTGAAAACAATACGCCTGCCTAGCTTCATGGTAAGTTATTGACAGCGCAATGTATCTGATCATAATACACATTACACTGTAATGTAACATTTGTAAGGGAAGCTACAGTCAAACCTGTTATAGTGATAAACAGTGACCAGTGATATACATTTTTTTGTACATGTACAGTCAAACCTGTACTAGCAAAGAAAATTGCCAGTAACATAACAAAGATTATGTATTGCAGACTTGTTTCATGATCACTGCAAACTGAATATATCACCACAAGGCTTTAGCTTTAATTGTACCACCACATTCTTCCACAGTTGCCTATCTATTTCTATAATGTATGTCTCAATGGGTTAGGGTTAGGATCAGGCACTGTTCTGGATAGTCTCTGTGTATCCAACACCTTAGATTTGTCCCCAGGCATGTTTCTGGATATGCTTCGACTATCAGGGTTCTAGCTAGTGTGGAGCTTTTAAAAATTTGAGCTAAAAGAGAGGCCATTTGAGGGATACCCAAAGGGAAAAATGTTATTTCTAAGGTATGTACAATGTATCCTTCATTGGTAATTTTTCACATTTGATCTGGCATTTCGAACAAAGAAATACAGTCACAATGCCCCTATGCTGTATTGAAAATTAGCGTAGGGGGAAAATTTAGCGTAGAGGGTCAAAATTATAGCGTAGGCGGCCCCTATGCTACTTCGCACTAGCTAGCTAGAACCCTGACTATCATATAACTGTTGTCATGTAATATTTCCAAACCTGATGCATGACGGTGAGTTTTTTCCTACAGGTTTGCACGATCTTGTTGTCAGCGTTGTTTGTGTATGATATCTTCTTCGTCTTCATAACTCCACTTATTACCAAGGTGAGTCAACTCAGCGCTCATGTGGGCAGGTCTGCTGGCATCACAGCTGGGAGGATCGAAGGGGGTTAGCCTTGTTAGCTTTGGTCTGCTCCCTAAGATCCGCTACCCAGCCAAATCTAACAAGGCTGGACTCCAGGCTAGGAGGGAAGGGAGGACGTTTTCTTTTAATAATAAATGTATATTGCTTCAGGAGTCTAAATCCCTTCTGTTGTAAAATTGTTACATGATGTAACCCAACACCAGTTACCATGGTAACAGACAGTCTGGATCAGGTCATTGACCTTATTGGTTTGGAGAAGAAGAAGAGGAAGAAACTGAGCAAAAACAATATGTTTTCCTTCGATAAACGTAACAAACAGGACAGATTAACACCAAAAGAACCTCCCCTCCTTGCCCCCCTGCCCTCCCCGTGGTGCCAGTGGACTTGCCCGTTATTTTACTTTTTTCCCTCTTGGTTTGTTGTGTGTCACACAGGCTTGTACGATCTTTTGCTGCTCCCTCCTTGTGTGTGATGTGTTCTTTGTCTTCATTATCCCCCTTTTCACCAAGGTGAGGCCTCCAAATTCCTGTTTCTATCCCTTAAACCACACCAGGGCTCTCTCCAGTAAGTGTTCGGACATTCAGACAAGTCGATCGGTGTAATGTAGCCAGCTGCCGCCGCGCGGCGTGCCTGCAAAGCTGGTGTGTCACGCCGAAGGGCAGTTATACTGGCTATACAGATACAGAAGCTGGTGTGTTACGCCGCGGGGCGGTTATACCGGCTATACAGATACAGATTCTTTCTTTGACTTAATAAAGAGACTCTTTCTTCACAACCAAGTGTTTTATTCAGCCGACGTTTCAGTGACCGTCTGTCACCTTCCTCAGGGCAATTCTGACTGGTTCACTGCAGCACAGGTGTCGCTGCGATATTTGCATTCCCAAATGCAAAGTTTTTACGACATCTGTCTTTGAAATCTTCATTGGAGATGCCACTTTGCAGACTTGTTAAGACTGAATTGTACTGTAATTTACAACCTCACAGTCACATGTTGAAAAGTTCCAAAACACAAAAAAATCAAGAAACCATTAAAAACTGCCCCTCAAAATGCAGCATTTCAGGGGGTTAAAAAAATTAGACGTCCAAAATTTCTTGCGGAGTATGCCCTTCAAAAAATTGAGAGGACACTCAGACAAAAGTTGAAAGCTGGAGAGAGGCCTGTTTGTCCATCTATCAATCTTTTATTGTGTTCTTTCCTTCAATTTTACTTTATGGATGGATTTTTTGTGAATTTGTTGTTGACAAAATCGTTTTGTTGCTTTTGAGACCATGTTTTTGACTGTGTGCTGAAAAGTAAGTTTGTCTCTGACAAAAATTTGTACTGTGTCATAGATAGGAGGGTGCATCAAGGATTGTTTGCTCTGTGTTTTTTTAATTAGCTCGTTATAATTAGGCCACACCAATCTAATTTGTTTAAAGTTAAAACTTTAGATCCAACACAAAAAGTTCTCTTACTTAGAGCTTTCGACCAGTCACTCTGGTCTTCCTCAGTAGACTGACCCAGTGAGGCTTGTCACATGGCTTCTTTGAAGTGTGATGTCAACACTGGGTCAAAGGTATCTGGTAGACGTCACACTTCAAAAAAGCCACATGACAAGCCTCACTGGGTCAGTCTACTGAGGAAGACCAGAGTGACTGGTTGAAAGCTCTAGGTGAGAGAACTTTTTGTGTTCAATCTAAAGTTTTATCCTCTGTCCCAGCCCTCTGTTCTTATCTTGTCCTCTTGCTAAATCTTCACTTCAATTTCAAAATTTCTGAGAACGAAGCAAATAGATTGGTGTGGCTTTAGGTAATTGAAACAAAATGTTGCTAAAATTGTATATTTATTAAACAAATCCTGTCTTGATATTTTGTTTCAATACAGGATAGTATATAAGTGCATGTGTTTATCTAAGTATGCAGTTTAATTCACAGTACAATGTTTTCAAACTAGTTTACTGTAAGTTGAGTTATAATGAAAGTACAATCCTGACTTTACTTTAGATGAATGTTTTCTTATGTGAAGTTACAGTAAGATTTGGTGTGCATCTTTCCTAAAAATGGTCACATTTGTTCACAATGTACAATTACAAACTAAGGGCATTCTTGGAATAGTCCTACAAAATTCAGGTGCCTTGCTACTCAAAACATTTGGTACTTGGCGCTGTCACAGCTAGCTTAAAAATTCTTTGAACCAAAATCATACAACAACCTACAACATACCGGTATGTAGGCTCTGTCACAACCTGCTTCAAAATTCTACATCATCAAACTCATATGACAAACTACGACAAATAACTTGTAACATATGCGTGTCTATGAGTCAGTAACAGTTTATATCATAGACACTCATATGTTACTGCTTGAAAATTCTACACTAAATTCATACAACGACCTACAACAAATGTAGATTCTGTCACAGCTTAGCCATGGATCAAAATCGTACATTGTATAATAGCATACAACAAATGTGATCCCAGCCTAGCCTGTAATACATGTGTATGGATGAGCCAGTAACAGTTTATTTGTCCTCCTGTTGCCCAGAGTAAGACCAGTGTGATGGTTGATGTAGCCACAGGACCTGCAGATGCTACTGAACAGGTAGGTTCTCTATTGTTCTCGCTTTATAGTTGTACTAGGCTTATAGCTATAGGTAGCTTAGTTATTCATTTCTATGCAAAAGTATGTTACCCCTTCAAAATGTTTTGACAAATGCAGCACATTTTAATATGAAATGCTAGATTCTTCATTATCATGAAAGTTTATCTGTGTAATGGTAGTAATGATACTACAATGTTGAACTTTATACCAACACAACAAGGACAGAGAGATCAAATTTAAAACGACCACTGTCACCTTCATCAGGATAATTAATGACCAATCACTTTCGAAACAATAATTCGCAAGAGTTACTGATATAGACCCGTGACCTTATTCACACAAGACTGCATTCTTTTATTCAATTATGCATGGGTTTCCTAGTCTCCAATACCTAGTCTCAATGTTTATTGGGTCCGGAGTTTTTATCTGTAATGTGTATGTGATTGACCCTTCCCCTCTACCCTCTGCCCTGTACCCCAGATCCCGATGGTCCTGAAGGTTCCCAGTCTCAGACATTCCGGCTCAGCCATGTGCAACCCCTACTCACTACTGGGCTTCGGGGACATCCTGGTGCCAGGTAAGGTACACCTTTTTCATCTGTACATGTACATTTATGTAGCTTTTGAATGTGAAGGTCCTGGGTTTGAGCCATCAGTAAGTAAGCTTTGCTATGTGCAATCCCTGCTCACTACTGGGCTTTGGGGACATCCTGGTACCAGGTAAAGTACACCCCTCCTGTGTCTAGCTTACAGACCAAACGGTCCTGGGTTTGAATCCCGCTCTAGCCATCATTATGTTGAAGCTCAGCTATGTTCAATCCCTACTCACTACTGGGATTCGGGGACATTCTGGTGCCAGGTTTTGTACACCTTTTACGTCTGTATGTAGGACCAAGGTCCTGGGCCAGGACCTTGGAGTGGGTTTGAATCCTACTGTAGCCATCATGTACTGTGGTAATTACAACTGTTGGTTTTTCCATTTTTTGCCACAGGTCTTCTTATTGCATTCTGCAAGTTTTTTGACTCCAAGATTGGAAGCTGGGGCATCTACTACCTGTCCACACTAGTAGGTAAGTCTGCAAGCTACATTCCTGCTACTACAGTCACATGTCTCTGACGTCACATTCTTAGAGTAGATGGGTCCATTCTGTGAACAAGGTTCAAGAACTCAGCCGAAAATTTCCCAATTCTTTCCAGTGTTGGAAGAGAAAGTTTAGTCTTTATTACATAATGACAAATGTACTAACACATTGGTGAACTTTCATACTGAATCAAAGTGTGTGTTTTTTTGTTTCTTGTTGTTCCCCCCAGCGTACGGTGTTGGAATGATCATCACCTTCTTTGCTCTGGTGTTCATGAAGAAAGTACAGCCTGTGTGTTGGCAAAGAAAGCTTAGTCTGTATTTCGTAATGACTTGTACCAACTCAGATGAACTTTCATGATAGTGTTTGTTTTTTCCTGTTTCCCCCCAGCATACGGTGTCGGGATGATCATCACCTTCTTTGCCCTGGTGTTCATGAAGAACGCCCAGCCGGCTCTCCTGTACCTGGTTCCCTGCACGCTCCTCACCGCAACGTTTGTGGCCTGCCGACGCGGGGAGATCAAACAGTTCTGGCGGGGAACCACGGTGATTAAACACGCTCACGCTCTCGATTTCTCCTCCTGAACGCTCGCCCGAAGCTCCTAGCTGGCTCGTAGCCGTTGGTTTAGTGTTGATGTTGTTGAAACACTGGTCTCTTTACTTTTGGAAAATCTTTTTCAAGAAGCATGAGCTTAAATTTTTTTATGAAGATTTACCACATTTGTGGTAGGATTGATATAACAGGGGACTATCACCTTTTCAAGATGTCAACCCTGAGACAATCTAGTGTAAGGTTTGAACCACTCACACCATAAGAAGCCCTACTCTTTTCGATAAGTGTAGTCGTGCTCAAGGTGTGGTTCTCCCAAACATTCCAGCTTGAAACAGATTCTTATGATGTACAACAAAGTTTTTAACATTTGCTATCCAAAAGAACAATCTTTTCAAAAAAAGATGTGTGTTCTCATTTCTGTCATCTTTTTTTGTTGCAAATTGCAAAATTTCTAATATTTCTGAATTCTTATTTTCCAAATCTAAAGCAACCAGTGGTTGGCAATTGATGCAGTTGATGTCTATATGGGGACTTTAATAGAATCTTTCTTTCTTTCTTTTCAAAAGGAATTTTGTGTAGTACATGCACATGCATGTACATGTACAATGTACCTCTGAAAGGGGATACATTGTACATGCAAGAGGATCTGAAATCTGCTAGACATGGTTTAGAATTCAAAATCATGAGGTTCAGAAATAGCATAGAGCTTTTACCTTGATGGGGTTGTGTGGCATAATGGCAGAGAATTTGGCTCAGAACCAAGAAGTCCTGGGTTCAAATCCTGCCAAGTCACCAACCTTCTGCCCTTCGGAAAGCACTTAACATGACTTTCCTCACTTCACTCAGGTGAAAATCAGTATGCCAGAACAATCATTATCATGATTGTGGGCATTAAAAGAAAAATCAAAGAAAAAGCAAATCTCTGTCCCCATGTTGACATCAGCTGCTGCAGCGCATTGTTTCCTTTTCCTTTCCGCATGCAAACGTTGGTATCGTAGTGAGAGATTTTCTGTGTGATGTACGTAACGTGCAGACGACGGTCCACATACGAGTTTTGCTTTTCTGTTGTTTCCAGTCTGGCAAGAAAAGTTCCTAAGGAAGGCTTTTCTACAGACTCTCGGTGAGGTTCATGCTACGGGGGTTTTGGAGATGACTGTCAGACACAAGATTTCTGTTTCCAGCAAACCTAAATCAGTTCTGCAGCCTTTGTTGTATCCAGAACCATACTTAGGCGAAGAAAAAAATGTTGTGTTTCCTGTGTTTTCAGTCCCAAAAAATTGATATATGTAGGATTATCTTTTTTTTGTTTTGTTCTTTCTTATACACTTTGACATCTCAAGTGCATTTTTAAACAAAGTAAATCATGCATGAGGACACTTACATTTGTACATTTTCAATGTCAATGTTGGAAAACATTTCATCACTCAGGTCAGATCATAGGGCTAGAAAAGGTCGATCAGGTTGAAAAATTCATGTCTCTTGCGGTTAGTTTTCTAGGGTTGGTTGGGAAACAGGAAACACAACATTTTTTTCCTAGGCCTTAGGCACAGTTCTGGATGGTCTTAGTGTATCCAAGAACATATATTTGCACCCAGGCACAGTTCTGTATGCACAATGGACTATTCAGAACCGCGCTCTAACAAGGATGTCACTGGCTCAAATCATCATTTTGCAAAATGTCGAAGAAATTTTCACCCTAAAGAAAGCAGCTGCAGACTGACTGGTTTGTTGGAAAAGTTTCTTATTAAAAGACGTTTTTAACAAGTACTGATACTGTGTGAGAATTCGCACTAGACTTGAAGGTGTTGTTTAAACCCAGGATTGTTTTGTAGAAGTGTTTTATTATGTTTGGTTGCATGACCTTTGTTTTTTTGCTTGTTTTACAAGGTTGTTTCTTTAAGAATGAGGTACAAGAAGGAAGGAGTGTTACTTGAGGACCAAGTATGTATGATCTAACTTAAAGATGTTTACAAATTCTTCTCACCTGGACAGTTTCTGTACAAGACTTCTTCACTGCTCTCAACACAGAAACTTCGGAAACTTAAATTTAACCATCGATCACATCTTTTTGTATCACTTTACAAGATGAAGACAACAAAAACATCTTTTTTATATTCCAACATTTCATGACTTGACAACACTCATTTTCAATTGAGTGAGGAAAGTTATATAAAGTGCCTTTCCCAAGGGCACAAGATCGGTGGCATGGCAGGATTCAAACCTGGAACCTCTTGGTTCCGAGTCAAGCACTCTGCTGCTACACCACACGACCCCACAAAAACATTTGACCAAATTTGAGTTTCCGAACGTTCTGTGTTGATTGCATTTCACAGGCACATTCTACTATGTAAAAGCACTTTCTTCTCTCAATCCTTGCACTTTTACTTGAACTTGAAGACTTGTTTCTCCCACAAGTTCCTTCCTTCTGTATTCTACAAGTGTTTCGTCACAACTTCTTGACATGTGTTTTCTCTTCCATTGTCTTCAAAGGTTTGGCTGAAGGTGATTCATTCTCACATTCTCATAATTATTATTATTATTCTACAAAAACTATACTTACACGTGTAGTACAAATGTACTTCCGAAAATTATAGCTTCATTAGGTTGGTAAAGCACACAACCACGTTTGGAAAAGTATAAACCAATCTTCAATTAGATTTGATTGTTGTATATCAACATTGAAATGGCTAGCTCAATCATAATATCATACATTTTTAAAATATCCAGACTTCTGTTCTGAAAGAACTGTTTATTGATTGTTCCAAATCCCAAGTATATAGCAGGCACTATATTGCATACTTGTATTAAAAACTACACGTAGCAAATACAAAAGCCACAAAATGGCGGTCACAGTTTCATACAATTAGAAAATAAAAAGACAAAGCACTCACATTAACCATACATACATACTATAAATGATACAATAATGATGGCAAGTAGTATAAAATAACTTGTATGTACATAATGATTTCTAATTGTCTAAAATTATTGCTATGTCTAAAACTATGTCTGAAGGGGTTGACTTCTCTTTTGTAAACCATGGAAGACGTAATGCCCCAACTTTTCTAAAATTACACATGTAGTAGTACTTCCAAAAATAGATAGAATAATATAATTGTTGGACTGTACATGTATTGATAATTATTGCTGATTGCTTCCTCCCCTTGTATCCATCTTCCCCCCTCCTCCTTCTTTTAAAGGACGAAGACGACAAACTAAGACAAGACGAGGAACAAGGAACAACCAGGGAAGGAGAGAGAGAAGACTTAAGGAGCGAAGAGGAAGGGGCAATCGGCGGGGAAACAGAAACGACGCCAAAAACGACAGAAACAGAACGTCAGACCGACCCTGACGCCATAGTTCCATACGCCGGGTCTCCTGTACAGGAACAGCGAAGCCCAACGCGGTCGTCGCTAGCGAAAAGTCCGCGGAGTCCGAGCTCAAAACATGTCACTATACGAACTTAGGGACAGTTGAACATTGTAGAAAAGTACTCTCCAAGCAGAGGTTTGGGTTTTGTCTTATTTTTGGCATGTTTTTTTAGATTTTTTAAGCCAACAGGTTCGCATATAAAACAGTGCAAAAAAGCCTGATAGAAAAGCTTAAAAACACGCCAAAGAAGCCCAAACCCAAACCTCTGCTTGGAGAGTAGTAGAAAAGCGCTGTATTTGCGTATCTCTTCCAGACTACAATTAGGTGCAGAAAAATAGTAAAAATTTACTAAATAGATTTTATATTTAGACAAGATTGACCAAAATTCATAGTGAGTTCCCTTTTTGTAATGGAAGAAATTGGTCAAATGGAGAGATAACATGTCAGGGGTGGTGGCAAATGCTTCTTTAGCGGACCAACTCCCCTGGCATGTTACTGGTATCTGTCTATTTGGCCAATTTCTACTCTTTCCAGTCGCCTCCCGAAGCCTGGTAGAGGCTACCTAACTGGTACTATTTATTGAGTATATTTTGGCCATTTTCTATTCTTTCTAGCCGCTTCTGAAGCCTGGTAGAGGCTAATACGGACTACCTAACTGGAAGTATTTCATCAGTCTATTTGGCCAATTTCTCCTATTTTTCAGAAACCCATAGTCTGGTAGAGGCTGTTTTAAGCTGGCTTGTGTCCTGTTATCTGTGCGATGTGTGCATCTGTGAGACAGTGAGGTTGCGTGGTGTATATATCACGTCGGCAGAACGTACTTCACCTGCGCGAAACCCTGATTTTTTACAGTTTTCGATGGATTTTGGTCAACATTGCATCAGAATTTGCCTGTTGCAGATGATATCTTTTCAGACAAAACACTTGGAAACTACAGACAGGATGTTAACCTTATATGCATGAATACAACCTGATAGGAGATGTTCTGCCACAGTGCTATGTACAATACATTATGGGTTTTGCGCAGGTGCAGTACGTTCTGCCGACGTGCTGGTGTATATGTGGTGTATTTGAAGGCTTGGGGATGGTAACCGTATATAAGACCAAGGATTGAGTAGTTCAAGAAAACTGTACATATGAAACATATCGTAATACAAAACTAGAACATTTGCAAAGCAAATACAGTACGTTCACTGTATTGAGAAAGTATGCCAAAGTGGATTCAATCATTCACATGTCCAAAGTTTCTCTCAGATACTGTTTGTAGAATAGTAGTATCAAGTATTTGATTAGGCTAAGGAAATTGTTGTGTTTCCAGTTTCCAGACCAACCCTAGCCTTTTTGGGGCTAGACTGCTGGAAAGACAGTAAAAATTTTCCATCTGCCATGTGAATGTCAACCTTTTAAAACATTATTTCACACATTTTTATAAGAAAATTTTTTTTTGCGGAGTGAATTGGCCAAAATACTGAAAAGTCTGAAACACTGAAACATCTTTTTCCTAGGTCTAACTTGGGTCCGAACTTTTTAAAACTGTAGTGTACATATTATATATTAATAATAATAGTAACTGTAACTGAATGTGTGAAATGTGCTTGAGGAAAATTTTGCTCGTTTATGCATATCTTGACCATCAATGAAAATGCAATTTTACCTCTTTATTTGATTATTATTTCTTTATTGTACAGAAAGCTGAATTGTCATATATATATTTTGATTTTATTTCTTTGAACAATGCCATACTTTTTTTCACAAAGTATGCAAATGATTGAGATTTTGCACAAAGTATGTTGTATTTCTGTGCAATTCTTTTTGTCTCTTTGCTCGTAAGATTTGCATGGTTCTGAAATGTGAAAAAATGGTGTCAATCAGTGAAAATGCAATGTACATTTAGGGAATTTGGGGTGTGTAATATCTCTCAATATTTATTATTTCTTTGTTGTACAGTACAAGTGCAGAACTTTTGGAAATATTTTCTTTGATCTCTGACAGCATTGAAAAGTGTTGAGCCAATATTTTGCAAGCTATAACTTATTACAACAAGGTTAGATCACTATGAGTTTTACAGGGTTTCCTTATTTGTAAAGTGTCAATGTGATGTCAATATAACAGTTATTGTTTAACCAATCAGAGTGCTGGTCTTAGAAATCGGGCAAGATCATTGGCTAGTCATTTGTTTGAGGTCTTTGCATTTTGACTTTAAAATGCTGACAATCTAGTGTTGCTATCTCAACTTATTAGAACACATGGATACATTAAGTTGTACATGCATGTTGTGTAAAGGGCACTTTTTCATGTTGCTATGTTTCATTGAAAATCATTTTACATAAATACAAGGTTCTGTGTAGGCTGGCATTTTATGAATGACATTTGGACATTGTTTGATGTTTGAAAGCTGCAATTCAGTAATTTTTGTAGTAAGAAACAGCTAAATACACATGCCATAGTCAGAAATTTTCACAAATTTCATATGTTTTAGTAATGGACTTGGGTACTTAATTGTACAATGTACATTCATGTACTGTAATTATTATGTTTTAGAACTGAAAAGATTTTGACACAGCAGTCAGTAAGTTATGACAATATTTAGGATTTATAAATCTTGTACAAAGGTGTAAGAGTTATGAAGAATGTCAGAGATGTCAAAACAGGGTAAAGAATCTCATAACATACAGGAACTTAAAGGAAAATTAGACACAAGAAAAGGACGAAAGAAGGCGAGAACTTTACCAAACTGTGCTGGAATTTGTCAACCCTTTTTAAATAGATTTGAGTGTTTATGATACATGTTTTATTCTCTGGTAACGTTTTGCCAAAGATGGTGTACCTTTTTCCAAGATAAAGCTTTATCTTGAGTATTATCAGTACCTTAGAAGTATTGTTTGTATCCAAATGACATAAGCGGGGGTATTTGAATGTTTATGGCACTTGGTGAGGCAGTAATTCTTGGGAACAGGTGTATTTTATTTCAGTTTTCTTGTTTTCGCTGGAGAAATTGCAGGAAAAAGATGCAATATTTGATTATTTATGCAATATTTGCACTGTACATAATATTATATACTTCTCATTGCAATATTTTTCCTGATTTTGGGCCATAAGTTGCTGGTGTACATTTTTGATTTCTTGAATAAAATAAAAGTTTTGCAAACATCAAATTATTTGTATTTTTTTGTCTTTCACTCTAGTATAATGATTGATAAGATAGTAGTACATGTAATTGTTAAGTAATGATCAGTGAATAAATACTTTCCCAAACGCCTCTGAAAGTTGAAAAATGTCTAATTTGCGATTGAAAATGTTACAAATATGTATTTCGGTTGATTCAAAGGAGATGTGAGAAGTTTGAATGTACAAATGGTACGTTTTTATAAGATTCACCGGTTTCGTGAACACTGATAGTAGCAGAAATAATGACACAAAAGCCCCCATTCAAGCGCTCGTACAATCCGTTCTAGAAATTTTTGTCTCAAAATAAACTGATGCAAGACTAAAATGTTTCTTTCCAGATAAATTCGTGATACTTTGGTAAGCAGGGTGAGCCCCAAGGTCAAGAACGAGAGCCGAAAAGACCTGAAGTAAAACCCCCATAAGAGCCCATCGCGTTTCCCAACTCGCGAAATGGCCAAATCTGGGAATGAGCGAGGCTTCTTTAGCGAGATACGGGGCCTTTTCGGAACGGGGATGTGATAGGAGATGAATTTCCTGATATTGAAATGATATCTGATATTGTGGTAGCCTGGCCTGACAGGTACCTAGGTTTTCCGTAAACCCTTTTGTTACTTTTTCTTAATCTTCAGAAAATGTATATGACTTGATAAAATAAAGATCTTGTTGATATACAGGCTTCAATGTACTATATACTGTATATATTTGTACTAAAATACATCAATCCCTCGCTTTTCCATGGGTGTACTGTTGTGTCAAACAAAACGCCTTGTACAGTATTGAGGCCAAAACTGCAATACTTAATACATGCAATTGATGGTGAGTTCAGCACCAAGGAGAGGTCCACACTAAGGCCGCACAACACAGTATTTATGGGCGGGCACAAAGTAGTGCTGCACAATACTACAGAAAGGTGCAGAGATTGTTTTGTGCATGGCATCGAGATGGAACCTGTGGTAAATGTTAGAGGAATACGTCAGTTTTGATACTGTAAAAGTTTAATTATGGTGCGTGTTCAGTCGGCGTAGGTTTGCGCTTGGATACTTGTCCTAGTACTGTGCGTTGGCTGCAGTGCCATGACCTTTGACACTTGGGGTCTCCCAGTGTCCGGCGCGACGTGTTGTGTGCGAATTCTTTCCAACATTTGAGGTACATTTTCGGCTTTTTGCCCGCAAATTATCCGTCTAAAGTGCACAGTATATCACCTGGACGTTTCCGTGTCGGATGTGTGCCGTTCTTTGGATGTTTGAGGGAGAAAATCCGGTGATTTCCTGGTGATAGCGGGCTGAGTTTGGAGTCTGGAAACGAAAATGGCGACTGCAAATTATGGCGGCGTGGTGCTGAAGAAGACTCTTTCTTGCGTGGTAAGAAAACGAACTATCTCCTTGAATATATATATATATATGTTTGCACTTCCAACAAACCTGTAGTAACAGACCACGTTATAATTCGTTATTTTAACCTTTATACTCCGCAGAAATTTGCGTTTTGTGGAACGATATGTCGCACCAAGTACTAGTAGTTTCCATCTCCTTGCTGGTCGCACACAAATTATTGTGGGCCATTTTGTATTTGAGTATTTTAATAGGGAGGTTGTTTTCATGACTATCGTGGTTTTGGGGGGCACTGAATATATCTCTTTCGTGTCAAGTTGTAAGGGTATGTCAAGTTCAAAGACGAAGACATGGTAGCTTAAAGTGACCTCAGTCTCGATGGGTGACCCTTACAAGTTCGTAAGATGGCCGCCGATGTTGTAGATGTACGTACCCGGAACAAATGACACAGGAGCCAGAGCTACATAGTGACGTGACTGTATTCTCTCCTCTCCGATTCTCTCTGATACTGACTTGACTACATGGTTACATGGGCTTTTATACTCTTAGCCACCCACACATACATTTCTTGTAAAAAGTGCATCATACTTCCTGTACCAGTCATGTTGAATCAATTCCTTAGACATTAGTGGAAAATCCCTGACCATTACCAAA